CTCCACCGCGCCCCCCCCCGCCGGGCAGGAGAGGCAGAGAAAGAAGGTGACGGGGGGGAGGAGAGCGCCGGAGAAGGGCCGAGAAAGGCAGTGGCGGGCGGGCGGGGAGGAAGAAAGCGCCGTCTTTGGGTGACTCTGCACTGGAGAAGAGGCCACTCCCGCCGGCATGCAGGAGAGGCCGAGAAAGGCGGCGGCCGGGCGGGGAGGAGGAAAGCGCCGGAGAAGGGGCTACTCCTGCCGGCCGCTACCGCGGCCGGCATGCAGGAGAGGCCGAGAAAGGGGGCAACGGAGACGGCAACAGCAGCAGCGGCGGGCGGGGAGGAGGAGAGCCTGGCGCGCGGGGTGGGTGGGCACCGCTGGCGGCTCCGCGGCAACCCCCCGCCGCCCGCACCCACCCAGCCTGCTTCCTTGTGCAAGGAGGGGGGAGGAAGAGGGCAGCCGGGCAGGAGAGGCCGAGAAGGGCAGCGGGGGCAGCAGGGGGGTGGGGAGGAAAGCACCACGCCCTGCCCACCCCACCGCCGCGTCCTCCTCCTACAGCCGGGTGGCAGAGCTCCTCCTAGCCCCGCTCCTCCCAGCTGCTGGCCAGGCATTGGCGCCCCTGCCTCTCCTCCCACCCCTACCGTCCGGCTCGCACTCTAGGCGAACACCTAGTTCGCCTAGCGGGCGAGCCGGCCATGGCATTAAATTTATATCTACTCCAGAAGGTGGGTAAGGCTGAGTCATTGTCTTGTAGGAATTCCCCAGGCTATGGACATGCTAATGGAGGAGGTTTCCTGAGGAGGTTCTTTTGTTTTCTGAGGAGGTTTCCTGCTTCTTGAGGAGGTTGTTGAAATTCTAATCTTATCTGTAGTGCTATTGTTTGATGTAGAGCCTTTTGTGTTTTTCAGGACAGGAAGCCATGTCCTATTTATTTTTAAACTCTCTGCCTCTGTGGTTAACAACTCAACTCACGCTAGCCATAGAAATCATAAATAAAAGGTTTTCCGAAATGAGGTGTGACAGGATCTAAAAGGCAGGCCGGGGCCCATGTGGCGCAGTGAGCCCCTTAAATCTGGGCTGGACCTGCCCCTACCAGCCATGTCAGGCTATGCCCGATTGCCCCAGCCATGGGAGGGGGGAGGCAAAGAGCACTGCACAGCTCCGGAGGCATCTCCTCCCAGCTCCCAGCCACACCCTCTGGGCTCAGCTGAACCATGCATCAACTCCTCCTCCGTCCCCACAGGCCTGAAAATGGGACCCAAGGTAAGTCTGGGGCCTCGGCTTCTGGAAAGGAGTCTGAAGATCCAACTCAAATTGAGGTGACTAGAAATGAAGTTCTAGAAGTACTAACAAACTGACAAAAAATAAGTCTCCTTGGCATACATCATTAACCATATAGTGATTGTCACAAGCATGATTGGCTTTAGAAGAGGATTAGACAGATTCATGCAGGAGAGGTCCATCAATGGCTACTAGTCATAATGACTATAGGAAACCTCCATAATTGGTTGCAGCTAACCTCTGAATACCAGTGCTAAGAATATCAGTTGAAGTTCTTAGCCTCTGTACCCTATTTGTTGGTCTTTCAGGGTAAATGGTGGATTGCTGTGTAAAACAGGTTGCTGGACTAAATGGACACTGGACTGATCCAGTAGTACCATAACAAATATTCCTAAAATAAGCACTTTTTACAATTGGCTTTGAATATATCTAAAAAGGTATTTTATCATATTACTAAAACTATTTGCTCACTAGCAGTTAAGGTTTTGCTATTTCATATTGATTTATGATGAATTAGGCCCCCTTCCACAAAATTACAATCCTGTATATTAATATATATTTTGCATGATCTGATTAAAGAGGAAACACAAGAAGAATGTATAAAACTCTTCGGTCCAAAGAAGAAGGGAAAGAATCTTGGTTTTCCATGAAAGTTCTCAGTTAAAGTTTAATTTCATTGTGGAAATTCATTGTAAAATTATGACCTTTTCCTGAAATAAAGACAGGAGTCACAAAAATCACTCTTCTCAGGGGTGCAGTTGTGTCATGCAAAGTCACTTTTGCAGATAAAAAATAATGATTTCATAGCCCTGGTCTGTTTTGTACAGTGAAAAAATGTGGCACGTTCTAGCATCATTTCGTAAGTTCTAAAGTAGACCATATTCTGTATCCCCATGTGATTATTTTGCACAGAGTCCAGTGATTTCAAGCATTAGTGAGTCTCCATCCAAGACTGCTACTAGAGTGAATATTTTTAAGAATGAAACATATGGAGAAAATAGAAACCATCCTGTGGAAGTGATTCCCCAGAGAAAATACCAGCAACCTACTCAGAGTGGTAGTTGTCATCCTATTCTTCAAGAGTAAGTGTGAAACTCTGTGACATTAAAGCATCATAGCAAATTGATAGATGTTGATTTATTAAAGAGAGCCTGATCTAATATCCACAACTTAAATACTTTGACTAGGAGTCAACCTAGAGGTCTGCACACACCTGTCAAACTCTTTTTTTCTAAGCAGCTGATCCCCTAGCATATCACAAACTGTTATTGAAACTCCTCAGTTTCACAAGTGATTTGTTAAATGGCTTTGGAAATCGCTGTTTGAGAAACACAAGCCCATCCTCCCTTAGGCATATGGATCTCGTTGCTGCTCTGGTCTTGGATCCTGGCCTATAATGGTACTATTACAATTGATTTAATTGCAAGTGTGTTTAGGAGTATAATAAACTGAGATGAGCCAGCATCTATTAAAACCTCTTGAGTGTTAATTCAGTGCTTTAAATATGTGAGTGTATTCTTCCCCTTTGTACCAGCACTCCTAGTTGTGCCTTCGGATCTACACAGTATGTGTTATTAAAATACGTTTTTAGAAAGATAATTTTGTTTTCCCCTTAGCCAGTTAGGACCACAAAAGAGAACGGTCTATGAACAAAAAATAGTGGAGCCTCTGGAAAAATCAAGACTGCCAGCAAAAGAGCTATCTACCCACGCAAGTCCATTTTATGCTTAATTTAATCTTTATAAATCTGTTTTCACAAGGGTGGGTGGTCAAGCAGATTACAGTTCCTACAGTTGCAGTCATTCAGCTAAAAGAGCTGTGCCTTCTGCTATTTGAGCAGGTGCTGGAAATGTAAATGATATTTCCCTTTGTAAATATACTGTGCTGTGCTTTGTAATACAGTATTGCTACTTTTCACCTGACAAAGAAATTGGGGGATTACAATCCCAGAGGCAATTTCCAACAAATCAGAATTGTAACCGTGATCAAGAAAACACAGATGGGTAAGTTTTCCGTGTCAGAGGCTAAAAAATACATTACAGTACATGTTCTTTGATACAGAGGCAGATGTCATATCCACATCAGTTTGATTGCTATAGGGTAATCAGTGTCCAATTCTAACAGCTTCTTGATCAGCCTCTACACCCCAGTTTTATCTCCAGGGGAAAGCCACAGTGACGTACAACATTATTCTACCCTCTTCTAATTTCTACATTATTCTACCCTCTTTTAATCTGCCCTGGGCCTGCTCCGGTGGGGAGGGTGGGGTATAAATTGAACAAATGAAAAAATAACTAATTTAGCCTTACAACATCTATGCTGTGAGGTTAGGCTGACGGTGTGTGACTGGTCCATAGTCATCCAGTGAGCTTCCATGGCACAGTGGGATTACGGACCTGAATATTCCACCTCCTATAATTATACTACTACAGGCTGGAAATGAAAAGGAATGGGGGGGGGGGGCTGGACTTGACAATAATAAGATTAAAGTGCCCTAGGAGTGCCTGACATTATCTTTTTAGAGATAGTTCGGGGGCTTGCGGGTTTCATCTTGGTGTGGTACTACAAAATACTGTCAGGAATTTGCAATAAATAAATAGATTCTGATTACCAAAGGGTACGCAAACGAAGCAACCAGATTCACAAAGAAGTCTGATAAATTGATTATGTGGAACAAAATGTCATTTTGGGAGATGCAGGGTCAAATCTCTACTCTGTCATGGAAGCTTGTTGGGTGACCTTGGGCCATTCATACACTCTCAGCCTATCCTACCTCACAGGGTTGTTGTGAGGATAAAACAGAAGAGAAAAGAATGATGTAAACTACTTCGGGTCTCCATTGGGGAGGAAGGTGAGATATCAATGATTTTGCCCCTCTTCCACAAGTGCCATCTCCATTGATACAAGAGGCAGGAGGGCAATTTTACTCCCTTTACCTTTGTCAGTACTACCCCCATCACCCTCATGGGTATTAATCCACAGAGTATTAATCCCAGGAGTCAGTTTTCCAAGAGTCACCAGGAATTCTGGGGGAGGGGCGCATAGAAAGGATCTATGTCCATCGGTACCTTTGTGAGAGATTGTTGAATCCAACCCATTATTTTGATTCTCCCATAAATTTGAGGTCATACTTGCTTAGTTTGCCAACAGGTAATTGTGACACTGCATTTCATTAATTAATGATAATCTAGCACTAGATTACATTTTGTATCATGAGCCAAAATCTCATTCAAAATACTTACTTGCCTTTAGTCCTTTGCTAGTAAATCTATGCTATTTTGCTGCCCTTTACCTAAGATCATATCTCCTGATGGACATGCATTTTGTCCCACTATTTTAACTCTTGTGCCCCACTATTTTAACCTTTCTTCCCCCATCATAAATTTAAGCTATTGGGAAATGAAATCTCCACCTCCAGCCAATTCCTACAGTGCAAGCAATAAAGAATCTACAGCTAATCTAACATTATTGGAAAAACAAGGTAGGTGTACAATAAAATAATCATGAAGTCCGAACATATGTATGTTCTAATCAATAAATGAAGCAATTGATACAAATTGTTACTGATCAACTTTTTTGTTTTGAACTTTTTAATAGGAAGCTTAACTTATCCTTCAGATCACAGATTTCTTGAGGGGCTGGAAAATTCTGCAAAGGAACATAATATAATTATACACCCTAGACTAAAAATACAGTTATCAAATAAACCAAATAAACAAATGCATTCCTCGTCTTCCAGTAGGTTAGTATAAATACTTTTATGACTAAATTTGAAACTCATATTGAATGATCATCATTGCAGGAAACTATTAGAATAAACAAGCATTCACAGTATACTTAATGGCTTTACTGTCCCCATACTTGCTGTTCACATTTGAATAAATCTTTTATTGAATAAATCTTTTGCTGTGTTTTCCCATTTTCAACATAGAAATAATAAGACAGAGTGCAAACAAACTAACAGTGTGAAGGTAGACAATGAAAGATTTTCCATCTTCTTAGAAGGAACAACAGTGGATCTAGATGTATCAGGTACTTAGGTTTTAATAATATTGATATGAGAGGTCACGTTATTTAGAATTTAAGCAGTAATTCGCTGTATGATTCTAGTTTCAGAGGGTAGCCACGTTGGTCTGCAGTAGAACAACGAAATTCATATCTGACAAAGTGAGCTTTGACTCTTGAAAGCTTATACCCTCAAAAGCTTGTTGGTCTCTAAGTTGGCACACTGGACTTGAATGTATCTGTTATGATTCCAATGAATGCAATAGTCTGTTGTCAGTCCAACAAAATCCAAAGTTTAATTTGTGCCAGGGCTCAGCCCTATCATTTGTTTACCATGCTAGGGTTCAGATCTGAAAAGTATGAAGTCCAAACATATGAAATGCTCCTGAGCCAAAGCAGAATACATTCCCTTAATCAATGGACAACTGTATAACTGGCTTTAGTTCCAGAATCTTTTTTTAAAACATAAAATACACCATTCAAATCCATACTAAATGAGCCTGGTAGATTGGGTTTTTCCCTTGCAACAAGACCTCATAGTTTAACTGCAGTTTTTAATTAGCCTTTTCTACATAAGTACATTGCTATGTTTATTAGGTCATTGAACCTATACACACTTTATAGTCTCAGTCAAAAGCAGCAATTTACATACTGGTTAAGAAATCACACATGTGGCAGGAGCTCGCTCTAGTTTTAAACCTGAACAGCAAGTTTGTCCTTCCACCCATTGGAGGTACAGCAGAAAAATGTATAACATTAGTATGTTACTACTATAAGTATCATATGGATCAATCAATATATTTGTGTTAGCATTTCTGTTGTTCTTGGAGACTAAAAATTAACTCGTATCAACAAATGTTTTAACATTAAGGATTGTAAAAGTCATGTCAGCATTGCGACTGTATTAAGAATTCATACATTAAGAATGATACATTTATAATGTCTAACATCATTGTGCAATTTTGGGGCTGGGGATTTAGGTAGTGATACAGAAGACACTTCATTTGGGGAATTTAAAAACAATTCAAGAAGTGAATTATTTCTTGAGCCAAAGACTAAACATCATGAATTATGGAAAGTGGATGCAAGGGATCAAAATAAAGGTGAATAGTTTTGTAAGACATTATTTGCTGTGTCGTGTGGAAAACCTTTAATATATTTAACAGTTTGTCTCAACACAGAAAACTATATAGAATTAAGCTATACAATTTACACAAATGAAGCAGAGATCCATGCACATAAACAGGATTGCAGGATGAGGATGACCAAGCACAGTTGATTTCATATTCAGATGTGCATCTGAATGCACAACCTATCAGTGAGGCACTCTATCCACACACTCAGCTATCCAACTCTGTATGCTCACATAACCAGTTCAAGTGTGATTAGAACTGGATTAGGCTACATGGCATCAATCGAAATAGAGAATCACCATGATGTGGTAGATAAGGTGGGTGGCTGTGTTAGTCTGTCTGTAGCAGTAGAAACGAGCAAGAGATGAGTAGCACCTTAAAGACTAAGAAAAATTGTGGCAGGGTAGGAGCTTTTGTGAGTCACTCAGTGTCTCATGAAAGCTCATACCCCGCCACATATTTTGTTAGTCTTTAAGGTGCTAGTGGACTCTTGCTCTTTTCTACATGAAGTTAGCGTATCAGACTGGCATTAGGAGACCCAAGTTTCAAATCACACACTCTCTACCTAACCTGCCTCACAGGGTTGGTGTGAGAATATGGAGAACAATGTGAGCCACTTTACATTGTAAGCCAATGTAAGCAAGTTATCAAATGAAGTAAGTAAATAAATAAAAATTGCCCCAATGTTCTATTGCATTGAGTGGGACAAGTTAGTTGCAAATAATTTCTGCCCCATTGATTCAAATGAGGCAAGCGTAATCAAGTCCAGTCCTATTTGGGTCATTCAGTATACATATAGATATGAAAAAGTAATTTGCACTTACTGAATCTAGTATTCAGTTTCACAGCCAAGGCTAGCCTTATGTTCTTCTGGCTAGTGCAGAGCTTTTAACTCTGATTGCAGAGATGCACACACTGAAAAACTTTCACTGTTTCTCAAAATAATATCACACTCTCCATTACTGAATATCTGAACAATCTCTATCTAAGAGGGAAAATAGTGATTTAGTGGTTTCTGCAGGTATTTTTAGAATGCTTAAACAAAGTCACTAAAAGTTTAGGACTAACTTGCTGTAACTTTCTCCTGTCTGCTTTTTGTTTCCAAAGCTTTACCACAAAGGGATAGGAAAACCCATTTTCACAGTGAAAGAAAAATAAACAACTTTGAGAAGAGCAATGAGTGTGCTAATGGTATATCTTCCCAAAAGTTTAATAATTTAGCACACAATTGAGCAAAATATAATGTAAAAAGGTATTCTGTTCAACCTCTAGTAAGGAGATTATTGTTTTTGTCTTGAAAAATAATATTTCATATCTCAGACACAGGTAAAAAATGTGAATGGCCCTAACTTTAATATATAGCTGGAAGGGTATTGAGGGACTCTGCGTAAGGATGCATTACAGCCATCTTTATCTATCTGCCATGTCTGCAATAGGAGAGAATACATCTTCCTACACAGCTGCTTTTCAAGCACAGAAGGGTTATTTCCCTGTTATGGATACTGTCTAAGCCATAAAAGGGGGGCTTAAATTTGAGGCAATAAGAGGTTTTAATCAATAAAATATTGAATAGTTCTGATAACAGTGTGTTTCTACCTACACTGCAAAGAGTATAACTTGAAGAAGTTGGAAAGAACTAGAAGATTGATTTTCATCAATAAGAAAAAAGTTTAAATAAAAAAAATAGCTGAAAGGAGTTTGTGTTTCTCTTTTTCCTTTGTATTTTAATTTTTTTTAACCAGGGGTGATGATTTTTTTTAAAAAAAATCAATTTTATTGTCTTAATAATTTTCCTCTAAATCAGTTATGCACTTTTAAATTACTTTTTGCCTTTGTATGCCTTTGTATGCTGTCTTGTGTCACCCATTTTTTGTCAGTGATGTTCTCAGGATGTGACTATATGAAAGTTGTATTTGTTTCTAATTGCGGCCTTCAAAATTTCAGCTTGTTCACATAAGAAAAGCCTTGCCCTCCAAAGGTTTTATTTCAACAAACAACCAGAAGAGTTTATATATAAACTTTCTGACACGTAAGTTATATCAGCAGGCTTTTACAAGTAAACTATGTGAGCTAAACCTGGTTTCTATACCTAGTCATGCAGCCTTGTTCTTTTCTGAAATCGTACATCTTCCTTTAAGTTTGCACCTATGTTTGCTATAATGAATCATTACGCTGCTTTTGTGATCATAATATGGGCCAGCTGCAAAGCCAGGCCACCTACACCAAATATAAGGGGTTCTATATTGGGGGTACCCATGTAAAAAGATTTTTGAAAATTAGACAACCTGCCACAGTGGCTAGAGGAGGACTTAATATGTTTCAGGAAATACGGAATATTGAAAGAAGAGGGGAAACACCACACAGATGGGGAAGTTGGTCTACTTAAGCCCCTGAGAATTTATAGAATCCCAGAGGGAAAGATCCGCCAGGGGAGGGATTTTCATGTATCTCCTCACCCACCTGGAATTTTCCACAGCTTGTCTCCTTTAAGTTCATAGTTAAAAGTTGGATGCCTGTTAAGTAGATTAGTAGAGCAAGGCCATACACCAACAAGGTAGGAGTTTATTCATATCTGGGGAGACCCAGAACCAAATGAGGCAGAGGCCCCTGCAGCAGTCTGTATAAACAGGGGAGGGGGCAGATCAGAGAGAAACCTCTGAACTCCTGCTCTGCCTGGAGCTCTGCCCCTCCCTGGCCAGCCTCAAAGAAGCTGACTGGCCAGCCTGAGCCTGCTGCAAAAGTCTGCCCCTGGGCTTACTGACATCATCCCAGGGCTGACAAAAAGCTGCCCTATGGCTGCAAACACAGCCCCAGGTAAGTTGTGCTAGGCATGAGCTAGTGGATGTGATGGAGGTTGTAAAAAATTCCTTTTTAGCAGCCTTCACTGCCACCTCATAGTAAACGTGCTATAAGATGTTCTTGTAGCTTCCTCATGAGTACACCGCCAAACTTGCTTTAGCGGTCTAAGTTCCTGTTTCATCCCCCTGAGTTCCACAGTGGACCAGGGGACAATTTAGATTGAGGACTTACTCATTAAATGTGGAAATTTGTACTGCTCAGTATGAAATACTCATGTAGATTTTCTTTTGCTTTCCTAGACAAAACCTACATATTCCCAAAACTCACTACTCAAGGATGCATGATACTATTATCCTTTCACCTCAATACCTTGACAGTAGAAATACCCATGGAAGGTCAATGAGTGAACTGAGAAACAAGCATATTGAAGACACAGAATCAAAGGTGTGTGTGTGGGGGGGGGGTAGCACTTGCTCCATCCTTAAGAATTTGTTAAAAAGTTCAAACAGTTTAAACGTACGTTCTAAGCTTGAATATTTTACTTATCCTGAAATACAGAAGTGCTTTTTTTTATAATCAGATCAAAGGTATTAATTTTGTTATTATCAGATCTTAAATTCCACTTTGGATGACGTTATACAGACTGCAAACAACTTGAAGAAGACCACAGAACACATGGTGCATGTCATTTCAGAAGATTTAGCCAGAGCTAAAACTCAGACATCTCCCAATGTTACAGCTAACCAGTACTACATCTGAACAAGTGTTACAAGAAACTGATTGCATCTGAAACTAACCAGCAAGAACTAAATGCACTATTTTCTCTTCTTCATAGTAAAAAAAATGTAAACCACGAAGCTTCAGTGAATAAAAAATTAGCAGAAAATAACTGATACTCCATGTTCAGAAATATGAGTTAATACAAGTTTTGTAAAATTATACCTGTGCATGGTTCAATATGAATCTTGGGTAAGAACATTTTCCTAGTGCTGGTGGAGCAGAGTTCTTTGTTCCTGAATAATCTGGTTAGTTCTGTGTTGACCATAAATTCTGGTAGATTTTTTTCTGAAGATGAATGCTGTTTTACTATAGAATAATAAAATGTGTTCATTGTACTTTTTCTAGATCATCAGTATTGAATGTCTGAATCATTGTTCTCAGAACAACTCTTTGAACTTGATGGGCACCGTTAGTATTGTGTCTTTATATCTTAAGTTTATGGGTCATGATTTCTAACTTCTGAGGACAAACTGGCATAACTGGCATTTGGGCAAGATACACATTTCTACTAGCATTGGGACTCTCTGAAAGGATGTACATGAGGCTGCTGTTAAACAAACCCACTTTCCTACAGCTCCCCTTCTTATCACTGCCACACATGACAATGAGGAGAAAAGGGGTGTGTGTGTGTTCATTCCAAGTAGTGACCCTCTGGCAAAAATTAGCTATCAAGTAATTAAGACATCACATTCTTCAAAAGTTCTTTATTCATAAAATGTTTATTATTTCCATGATTAATATCACCCATATACCACATAGAGATCCATGCAACGCCAGACACCCCCCCCCCAATATTTTATCTCAGATTTCTCAAGAAAAAGACCTTACCTTACTTTTGTACCTTACCACAAGCTGCTTTCTGTGAATTCTGACAAATTGCATGAGGTTTTGTTGTTCGACACAATGCACTTGTGAAATTGTGTTATACATTTATATTTACAGCTCTCATATTTTCAGTTCATTTTCTGCTATAGTATCTTTAGAAATAGTCATGTTTCTAGTATAGAAAGTTTACATTATTACTGAAAGGTCATTAGCATATATACAAATGTCTTCCAAACCCTAGCATAGCATAATGCACTGGTGAACACACTCTACATCAAACATTTCACAGTGAAATGCCATCTATAACCAAGCACGTTAATATAAAAATGCAAACTGTTACATATATTTTTTCATTCTTATTCATGACCTTCCTACCCCCCCCTCCAACGAAAAGCAGCAGATTTTAAATTATAAAAAGATATCCCATTAATTGGGAACATAGCAGTCCCAAACACAGCACTGATAGTTTAATTCATAAAATATGTACATAGGGCACAATCCAGATCAAGTTAAGCACTTTTGACTCCCATTGAAATCAGTGGAAAAGTTAGAACATGCTTAAAATTGCTCCCATTGAAATCAATGGGGACATGGCTGGATTGTGCTCATAATTAAGTTAAACATAATTCTTTGAACATTATAAATCCCTATTCATCCTTAAAGTAGACCGCATCCTTTGATTTTGTTACAGTAAGTGCTTTTATGTCATCCAGTAGTCTTCTAGGTGTCACAATGTGAGTGGAACCTGGTAAAACAAAATGTAATCTTGAAAAGACAGTAACCAATAACATTATTTCACTGAAACATGGAGATTTTCCTTTCCTTTGGCTACACCCAAACTGTATTATATTAGTAAATTCTGGCTCCATTAATAGGTCACAGGAGACTAAGAGGCAGTTGTGAACTTTGATCATATATGTCCCAGTGGAGGAAGAACAGAAATAGCCTTTGACCAGGGCTGTGAGGTCAATGTTTAATTGCCTTTGAAATGTTGCAAGGACAAAGTTACAGAGGGCACAGAACTGATTGTGTTTCTCCTTCTGCAATCCCTGGTGAATAAAATTGTCAACAGTGTTTATATCATGCCAGAATAAATTTGTTGCTGCAGCAAGATTTCAGCTGCAGTAGATCAAGCAATGGCCAGTCTTGGGAATTGAAACATTTTATTTCTATTGGTCACTTAATCAGCTTAGAGCTAACCTTTCTACTCCTCCCTCTTCTGTGTTTAGAGGAACTACTAACTAACTGCTCTCTATTGGTGGGAAGATTGTTTTAGATTTTGTTCTTGGGGGAGGTTATTTTTGGAGATACAATTCTGCTTTTAATTTTCTTCTCCCCTGCGGGTCCATTTAGTGATTTAATTTTTTTTCAGCTGGTTTATTTTTTCCTGTTATTTTACAATTATTGTGATCTGCTTCAGGGATTCTGGGTCAAAAGTGAGACACAGCTGTAGAAATGGCTGAATGCCAGGGTTTTAGGTGCTTAAAAGCATGCTATAGTGTTTGTTTCCCCCCCAAATCGAGTGTTCTCTATTTGAAAGAATGCATGTGCACCCACAAGAATGATGAACAATGAGAAATTATGATCAACTGAAATAAGTGTTGGCATAACTTTTAATCTTAAAAATGCTGTGTACAAATTTATCTGTTACAAAATAGAACCCATGTTGAAGAGAAATCAGTATTGCTTCTGCCAAAGGAAATCTTGCCTTTTATCATTTTAAAGAGTAGAAAAGAGCAAGAGTCCAGTAGCGTCTTAAAGACTGGATATCTGAAGAAGTGAGCAGTGACTCACGAAAGTTCATACCTTGCCACAAATTTGTTAGTCTTTAAGGTGCTCCTGGACTCTTGCTCTTTTCTAGTGCTACAGACAGACAAACATGGCTACTCTTAGGTCAGCATCTGAATGTCCTGGAAGGTTAAAATCTTTCCCCACTGGTTTTTGAATGTTGTGGTTTCTAATGTTAGAAAGGTGGTGGTGGTGGGGGGTAAGATGTGGAAACCAAAAGGTGAGTGAATGGGGATAGAGACTGCCTAGAGGAAACGGGAAAAGTTCTCAAAGCCATGGGTTTATTCGGATAGTGGGCAAACCCCTTCCCAGCAACAATGAGAGGCACTTTTTTTTTTTGCCCTACCAGCAGTGAGTGACTGCTTTCTCTCCAACTCACTTGTTTCTTCTCTCCTCATTAAGGGGAGGCAGGTGTTATCAAGCTTAGAGCACACTTTGGCATGCTTCCAGAGAAGCCAGCAGAAAGCCAGCTGCAGCAGGAACAGAGAGAGATTTGGGAGACTGGGATCTGTGTGAGTTCCTCCCCAGCAATAATGAGTGGCCTTGCATATCAGTCCCTTTCTTACCAAGAGTTGCCATTGCCAGGAAAACCAAACTGGATGCTGAATTCTCAAAAGAGATCAGAAAGCCCTGTTGAGTATGAACTGTTTGCTGCACTGCTTTTAAAGAGGCTAGAAGGAAGTGAAGACAAGGAGAATCTTGGAAGACCAGAACCTGTGTAGATGGCTTCACTTTAACATTGGGAAGACCTAGGCTTGCCTGCCAGCAATAATTAGCTAAAAGTCAACCACAATGGATGTACAGCGTATGCAAGTATGCAAACCACCAGAAAAATACTGTACAAATAAAGTATTAGGCAAACAAATTGTGTCCTTAAAATGAATTAGTATTTTCTTTTATCTGCCAGCAATAATTAGCTGCCGGCTTCCAACTCACCTGTGTCTCCTCATTTCCCTGGCAGAGGCAAGTGATACTGAACCTAGAATGGTTCCTTGTGTGCCTCCGGAGGCTTCCACCTTAAAGCTGGGCGCTGTGGCCAGAGGGCATCACCCTTAACGCGAAGGCTCGCAACGTTTATGTAGTTGTCCCTTACTCAGTGCACAAGAAGTGAGAAGTATAAAAGTAATGTCTTGAATATTAGGAAAGTCTGAGTAATAAGGAGTGAAAGCTGTACAAATAGAAAGGCTGTTGTGAGTTGGTGCCAAGTGAAGAGAGAAAAATTGTTGCTGTGGTCGGTTGAGGTAATATGCATCTCATGCTGTACCACTGACTTTTGTATTGATTTAAAATATATAAAATATTTGTTGCTATGGAGAAAACCTTACCAATTCACTTGCCCTTGCTTTAAGAATTAATTCATGAAGATTAGAGAGTTAAAATAATGCAATGTGATTTTTTTCTCCCCGCTGACATGGATAAGGAGCTCTGATGAACGTGACCTGTGACCATAACGGCTGGGAGGGGTACCGGACAATTCTGGTCCCCCCCAGGGCCCTTGTAGGGGGCCCGTAGCCTGGGCATGAGAGGTGCCGCTCCCGAGGCCATGGGCGAGGGATTGAGGCTCCTCTTTGCCCCAATAGGTCCCACCGCTGTGAGACCAGCAATGGCAACAGAAACGCACACCGGGACAGGCAAACAGGAGATCAAGCGCTTTAAAGGTCTCCCTACCTTACTGAAGCAAGCAGCTGATGAAGAAACAGTCCATATACTTTTAATTCAGACAAAAATCTAAGCGGACAGCTTCCCCCAACCCCTTAAATTCAAAAGCGGAGGGAATTGAGCTGGTCTCATTCGGGGAGGAAAAAGCAGCAACTGTAAGACGTGGAGAGGAAAAGCTGATTGAAAAGCATTGTTTAGCACAAATAGAGTGCTGACTGGTTAAAAGGTGTAATTGAATAAACCTACAGAGACTTTTTTGAACTTTCTCTTAATGTAAACAATCCTGCATCGGACTGAGAAAATGGCACAGAAAATAAGACCTTCTCCTTCAGGAACTGCCAGCTCAACAGTGTCCAAACAGGAAACAACCATAGACTTTCCAAGCATGTTAACCACTGCACTGCGCCCTCTACTGGACCAGATGACTCATCTTAATAATAACTTTGAGACTCTCCAAAAATAGCTAAAAGAAGTTAATATAAAAACAGAGAATACAGCAAAGTCAATGAGAAAAATCGATGCTAAGACAAAAGCATTGAAACAGAGACTGGAGGCAGTGGAAAAAGAGAAAGCCTCTCGTAAACAACAGCTGTTACAACTACAAATGGAAAAATCAACATTTATCCTGAGATTTCAAGGTATTCTGGAACAAAAAGGGGAAAACCTCAAGGAGATTTTAAGTGACGCCTTGGCACTGGCAGTAGACCTTAAAGCGGAACTTATACAAAGCTAAATGGATGTAGTCTACCGGATAAGCTACCTGGTGAAATAGAGCGAAACTGTCTGGTTGTATGATAATTTTAGCACGCCATCTATGCATTCAATGTATTAGCACTAGCACTTTATGAGGTTTTGTTTTATTTTATTGTATTGAATTTTAAATTGTTTTAATGTGAATGTATGGTCATCTATAGACCAATTATGTAAGCCGCCCTGAGCCCGCTTGCGGGGTAGGGAGGGGTATAAATTTAATAAATAAATAATATTTGTGACATTCTCCAAAATGTTTACCAGCGACTAATGGAATTACTCTAAAAATCAAAGGTGAAGAAATAAGAATTTTAAAAGACATTCCATTTGAGATAAGAAAGACAAGACAACAATATAAAAAATTGACAATATTTCTACAGAAAAATTCCACCCCCTACAGATGGATTTTGCCAGAGGGTCTTATCTTCAACTTCAAAGAGAAAAAAGAAAAAATAGACTGTTATAAAAGCTAAAGCATTTTTGGAGCAGCATCAAAAAACAGAGAAAGAAGGAAGTGGTGCTTATTAGCAAGAAAGCGGTAAATTTTCAGACTTTCAGAGACTTTTAAAACTTTTCTCTTACTGTAAACAATGACGCAGCGAGCAGATATATTCATTCTTGCTTTACTTTTTAATTTTGTATCTCTTTTCTTTTCTCTTCATATTTTCTGGTTGTTTTATCTCTTTGTTTTAAAATTTCCTTAATAAAATTAATTGGAAAAAATAAACCTAATGGTTGAGCAGTGTGGGGTCTGCAGCTGAGCTGTTAGGTTTAAATGGCTGAGAGCCATTTCACTGGTCAGTTTTGCTTCCCCCCACTTTTTTATGTTCATACTCATGCCTAGTCTCTAGTTAATTGGATCAGATGATGGAACAAAATCTATGTCAAATAATTAAGAAAACAGAAAACAATTGAAAAGATTGGGCTAAATATAAATTGTCTTCGCTAGAATGTACTGCAATGATTAAAATGCAAATCCTTCCCGGGTTTCAATTCTAATTATGATCCAGCCTTTATTAGTTAGTCATGAACAGATTTATCGGGGAGAACAAAACCCCCCACAGAATGGCGGCCTTTCCATGCCAAGTATTGAAAGGCATCAAGGCCTTGTTTACTGGAAGTGATAACACTAGCTGTACTGCATAATGTGGCTCAGACACATGTCCACTAGGGTACAGTAGGACCGGGGAAACTCAGGACTTCTACTTAATGTATTCCTGATAAAAAAATTTAAAACCAAGTGGATGTAGTGGAAAGAGATGTTAAGTTCGAAAAGTAGGGGATAACGTAAAGGCAATATACCTGATTAAGAAGAACTTCACAAAAATATAGTTTTATGCTGTAATCCTGTATGCACTTTCCCCCATTTTAAATCCAACTTACCAATAACAACGTCACAAGACTTGAAGGCTTGAGAAACTTCATATGCACAGCGCATTTCTGAATATGTAATTCCTCCAATCACAAACACAATGAGCTTTGAACCTCTTCCGATCCTCCAAGTAATTAGTTTTGGGCTTATGTCGAGCACTGCAAAACAGAACATTTCAAACACCACTATGCAAGTTGTTCATACTTACATGGCAGAAATAAGCCTACTATTAGGAACTCTACCAAGAGGGAGAAAGAGGCTAATAGAACTTACCTCACTGCTCCAGTACCATTCCAGGGGGCAGGACACTGAGAACAATAAGGCCACTCTTTGGAATCTAATTTATTTTCTATAGCATCCTGGAAAACAAATAGACCATTTCTATTAAAGTTTCTATGATAGTTCTTCAAAGCCCTCCGATTTCCCACCAACATCACACCGGCAAGAGAGCGGCATTACAGCAGTACACATTCTTGGGACAATCAATCTATGCATGTCAATGAAGAATAGAAGTCAGGTCCCAAGAATGAGGCACCTTTCTAGGCAAAGAAAAAAGCTGAATTCTATTTATCTTACGTGAAACCCATCAAACCCACGATCACTATTCATTATTCCACCAGCCCAAACCACAGGGTCTATTTCCCTGTTTGGATATTGAATGAACCAAGGGAGAAACAAAAGCAGGCGGCTTTTAAACAACTTAATATTAGTAAAAATAAGTCTCACTCTATTCCAAGTATTTGTTTTCAATAAAT